ATCGAACAAATTATTTTATTTAGTCAGCTATTTAATATTTAGTATTTTTAAAAAATTATCGTAGCAATTCAAAAGTTACTAATGAAACTGCAAGTGGATGAAATGTGAGTATAAATGTTGATATGACACTGATTTTGGAAGTACCTCTCAATCATGTTCATGTGGCATTGCTAGTAGAAAGTACACTTGAAACATCAATCACATATTCCTCACTTCTAGACCAGCACTCTAATTAAAAGTCAGTTACATATTGTTCTTTCATCGTTGAATTGGGATATTTATTAAAGACGTATTCACCGCATACACACATGTTAGCAGAGATTAGTTTTGGTATAGTGCCCATGTTTCTGAATAACTGCTCGAAAGAAGTTGCTTATTTTCTCGATTGAACTTGTCTACAAAATAAATAAAGCACATTTCTAAACAATACTTTTTGATTAACAGAAACAATTATTCATACTGTTTCTTCTTTCTCGAAAAGAACGGATCTACAAGAGAAAAATGTTCTTTTGAGTAACTAATCAGAAAACAGTGGAATACTAGCAGTGATTTATGCTATATTTCTACATAGTTAGATTTCAACTATTTTATTCGAACTTTGATTGTTTTTCAACTAAAACTGCATGCTTATTGTGACATCAGCGAAAGCAATGCTCGTTATAACTACTGTTTAAAAAATAAATCGTCGAGCAATTGAATAGTTAATTCTTACTATAATCTGAAGACACGAAATCGAAAACATTAATATAAAAGGCTTGTCGTCTGATTTTCATCTATATGCAAATGTATAACTCGTATATTAAGTATGATAAGAGAAACGAAAAAGGCATAAACCTCTGATAAAAAGTGCACACAATCGTCTGTTTGATCAAGAACAAGAGCACAATCCCTAGGGTCATGCCCGATCATAAATATATTTGCATCACGAACCTTAAAAAGAAAGAGAGAAAAATACTTTAGTATGTGAATATTTCACATACACTGAGTCCTCGTGAATATCGTAAATGATACGATGAAACATGGAGCAAAGAAGACAAAACCTCACCTGAGCTTTACTGTAAAAAAAGAATAGAATAATAAAATTTTGCTCTAAGTACAATCTGTCATAGACTCTTGAAGGTTTTATGAAATCAAAAAATATGTGAAAATACAGAAGATTAATGACTACTAAAAACGAGTTCATTATATTTTTACCTAAATAGGAGGGTTGGATGTAGATCATCTCTTCGCTTGTACCCACAGTCACCATACCCTATTATATCTCAAATTAAATATCAAACCAAATATCAAAGTCCAGAACTGAAAAGGCTGTCATAGGTACAAGCATACTTTTATGATTATGTTTGATTGCAAGTTTGAATGAATATTCAAGACGATAATTACAAGTAACATGAATTTTTCATAGAATTTATAGTTAAAAAGACTTGTAGTTCAGTGTTTCGATTTATGCCCTACTGTGATCATATATTATGTTGTCGTATACAATGATTAACAGCTGTATAACCATCGAAAACATGATTGTTCAAGTATTTACGGTCCTGCATCATCCAACGAGATATGATGCAAACCAAATGAATGAAACAAGTAGTTAAATAGTTGTTAATAACCATACTTATTCAATCTAATTAAGTATTCATATCTCAGATTCTACTTTAGATTTGTAAATCAATCACTATCTTGAGTAATTGAAATTATCTATGAAAAAGTAAAATTAAGAAGAATTTCTAAATGACATATATAAGTGAAACAAAAGACACATCAATAAACAATTCATTGTTTTCTTTCTATCACAATAGTTGATTGAAATTCAATATTCTTTCGTCTAGGAAAACATAACGGAGCTAAAATAGATATCATCAGTGTAAATATTCTACTTACATAAACAGATAACTCATCAAGTTTTTTCTTTTATCTCTAAAACTATGGCTACAGTGCTTGTTTATCATAGCTCTATGGTAAAATATCATATGTCCCAAAATGTTTGCAAGCCTTTTTGTATATCTCAGCACAGACAAAATTATATAACCTTGAGTTTCTTTTAAAAGATACATCGTGGAATTGTCTACAAAGTCTGACGAAAACAATCTCATAGATCATATTCATAAGAAAAACATTGACAAATACTGCTTTGAAGTATCATTGCTGACTGCAATAAAAAATTGTAACACTTCACGAATTAAAAACACGCTATAGAAGTGTTTTCTTGACTAAAAATAAACTATAAATAGGTTTTTTTTATATTAATTTTGCCATAACTCATGAAAGATTACAGCTTTTTATTGAAATCAACAATGATACTTCAAAATAGTGTTTGTCTTAGACATATGATTTATGAACATTTCTTTATTAGTGACAAAAAAAATCAAACCATTTGGTTAACATATACCGAAGATATTCAGAGTTTTTTTCTTCGGTATAATACCTCTTATACGACCCTATATTGTGAGAAATAGCAATATCACGTCGATTATTACTTTCAGTCACTCAAGAAACTATCCGAACAAGTCAATCAGATTTTTTTCGTAAGATTTTGTAGAAAATTCAACGGTGTATCTTTTACAAAACCTTATAAGGTTATATTATTTGTCTTTACTATGATATAAACAAAAGCAAGCGTACAAACATTTTTGAACAGTCGACAGCAATGTCAAAGGTTCAAAAAAGTATCTAATTTATCTAATTTTCTCTAAGAATAACGTATGACTTTACATACCAAATGAACTCTAACAGATATCAGTGATGACAAAAAAAAGCAAAATATGAATACTCCAACATTGGACTTTTCTTTTCATATTATTTAGCTTAGTTCATATGAATATAAGAGAGATTTGAGCAGATTTAAAACAAAGAGATTAACTATTATATATACAAATGACAAGAGGATTTTATATTTCTTTCAGTAAACTTTTCTATTTTGTAAAAGATTTGTCTGCTTATAAGAAATAATACATTCATATAAACATCCAAATAATTTTAGCGCATTGAAATCAAACAAAAAAAACTTATTATATATAATTATACACATAAATTGGATGTATCAAATGTTATAAATAAATTTCTTTTCACAATAATTGTGCCACTTATTTTTAGAAGTTTTGACTGTTGTTCTTCTTGCTTTTATCTTTTTTTTATCATTCCTGTTTCTACTGTCATATTCGATTTTGTTATGCTGGTTTTTATCATCGATTTTGTTCTCGTAAATGAAACTGAGAGTTTTGCGATGGAAGTATATGTTACTACTGATATTATGTAACTGTTATTGAAGCTTCAGTTTTCTTTAAAGTTTATACTGTTGTTCTGTTTTTTTATTGATGCTTTGTTTTTCGTTGTTGCTGCTGAAAAAAAATGATAATTCATTGAAAAGAGAAAAGTTCGTATGTTTATCGAAAAGTGATGCATAAAGGTAAAAAAAAAAGTTCAATAAGAAAAATTTCGCTAAATGATAGAAAAGTGGTACATATCATTATTGTGTGCTATAAATCTGGGGTTTTGTTACTTGACTACTAAAGTCCTATAGTACATCAGCGAGTATTAAGTAAAGTGAACATTTTCGAAATCTTTGATTACCCTTCTGATTCCAATTTTAATAACAATTAAAGTTTTTCATCAAAACTCTTATAACTAAATGAATATTATTCTACAACATCACATTTTTACTTATATCAATAGTGAAGATTAATAAGTTCATATTCCACAGAAGCCGTTTTTTTTTTTTCATGTTCTAATAATGAGAAACATCGAAGATTTACATAAGAACATATAAAGCAAAAGATTAAAAGGGGCAAACATCGAAACACAATAAGTCCGAAGGTTAAATGAATGTTCATAGTGTATTTATAGACTACATTTTTAATTTAGATTAATTTTATACAAACTTATAAAAGATAGTAAATCATTGATTTTCGATAGTTTTCTTTTTGTCAAACTAGGCCCATTTTGAGAGATTTCTTTTGTTATTTAATTTGTTTCGTATTTCTTTTTATCGAGTTTTTGCTTCTCGACATTTGTCTTTTATACTAAAGCGAAAAGAAAAAAGAGACGGTAAAGGCATAAAGATATAAAAAATTTCATTATTTATAATTCTATTTGCAGTAAAAACTGATTACTGTACTATGATATCAGCTGTAGGTAAAAAAAACTTCCATTTATAGAAGATGAAATAGAAATCTTCTCAAGAATATGAACCTTTATATATATATATCTTCTTTATTAATAAATACTCATCTAGTTTTAAGAGTTAAAATGTCGAACTTTATGTGTTTTTGGATTGATAATAAAGAAAGAAAAGAGAATTTTTCTTCAAGGATATCAAACATGTAAACTAGTATTTGAATTCATCTTTGTATTCTAACATATATGTTTGTAATCTATTAGAAAATTAAAGAAAAATACTTGATTGTTCCATTAATAAAAAAATATAATACTTTTTTTATCTACTACAACGTGTCTCGTCGTATATTCCATGTGCATAAGATGTTAATCTAGCTTGAAACTTCTTCTTGCTTGATTTGACAGATGTCACATAAAACATTATGGAAATACTTTTTTGAATCTCGGTAAAGTCATTTATATCACACAGTGTTATTGTTAGTTCATTGAGTGTTTTTACGAAATGTATTTCAAAATCTTATTTGAAATTCATTTTTTGTTTCAGAAAAAGTCGATGAAGATTTTACTATGATGATATTTTCGGAATTGATATCAACGTGTTTGTAAGACTTATTGCTTTTCTATAAGAAGCAACTTGCAAAGCCTTTAGAATAGAAATCTATACTCATAAATAAACACGAGTAGGACTCGTCACTTTTCATCCTCAAACCATGTTACTCATATTTATACACAAAATCATCAAAAACAAATATATTCCATAGTAACCGATCATTTCAAAGTTTTATTTTTGAAAGCAAAAAAGAAAAAGAAAGACTCCAATGATACATATATATAATAAATGTAATAGTTTTTTTTTTTCATTTAGTTACGTAATAAAATACATGAATATTTTATAAAGGGCGATATTCACCAAGAAAAGCATTACAACTTGGACAATAATGTTTAACATTTTGTAAATCTGATACACAAAATGGTATAAGACAACAACCAAGCCAACAACCAAATACAATTAATAAAATACATAAAAGCCATGTTAATAATCCAGTTGTTTCTTCAGTACGTGTAATAATTGTTGATCGACAATTAGGACAAGTACATTGCGTGGGACTTCTATTAAATGATGCCAAAGGAACAACTTGTACTCCATAAACTACTGTATTAGGCGGATTAATTGTTTGATATTTCATTTCAGCAAATTCTCCTTGTTGAGGCATAGGATATGTTTGTATTGGTTCAGCAGGAGCATATTTATTTTGAAATTCCGCTAAACAAAAATAAATCGTAATTATCTTCTTTTCTTTTTTTACTGATTAACATACAAATAACTTACCATATGATGGCGGTGGTGCTTGAAAATTATCGCTCATTGACTTTGTTTTTCGTTAATTATAAAAAAATCTGAAAAAAAGTATATTTTTCCTAATAACAACAGCTGATATGAAAAATTCGATTATGATCATGTCATTTTCTTTATATAATAAAAGCATTTCAACCAATCATCATTAATTTTAGTGAGAAAAATAATGCTCGAGATCAGTAAAGAGAAAATAATTTAGTATTATTGTTCGCATGATATCAAATAGACAATTGTATATATATGTCGTGTTGAAGTTACACCGGCCGACGAAGTTAATTTTATTTCATTTATCAGTAAATAATTTACTAAAATCGAATATCATATTGCTGAATATATGATAAAAAAATTTTTTTCCCAATGAATACCATTTATTCAACTATATTGTTGAATAAAGAGTATTTATTGGCAAAAAAAAATTTTTTATTATATATTCAGCAATATGGCATTCGATTTTAGTAAATTATTTACTGATAAATGAAATAAAATTAACTTTGACAAATTTATTGTTGAAGTCGTAACTTCGATACGACATATATATATATATTTGAAAATGTATTCAAACACGTACGTAGATAAATTATTTGTGATAGAAAAAAACAGAAAAGAAATACATGATGACGGGATATATTTATTTTTACTCATATTGACTTCGAAAAACATATTAGTTACTGTTAACAGAATCAAATTTTACAGGATTGATATTTTTAGTATTCAAAGAAAAAAAATCAAAGAAATGTTTTATTTATTTCGTAAAAATATTCTAAGACGAAGATCTGAATTATGATTAATTCATAAGATACTTTTTTTTTTCAATCTAACTTCATTTGATGATAGTTAATCTAATTTGTACAAAGGATCAACGATTTTCATTAATTCCTATAATATAATTTTTATAATCACTTACCCATTTATATAAGCGTTATTTATTTTGTCCTATTTCTAATTCATTCAATTACAACACAATGATGTTTAAAGGAAATGAGATTGAGAAAATTTATGACCTTTGATACTGATGTTTTTTACCATTTTATTTTCTATGTCTATGAATGAAAGTGCTTCTTTTATTTCACTTTTTCTCTCATAGGTTTATTAAGCCAATGTAGGTTAGCCATATTTTTCTTCTCGTCTACTTTGATAAAGGTCGCCGTTTTTTTTTTCGTCTGTCTCGTTCTAGTGGCATCGTCTTTTTTTGCTTTTGTATATATATAAAAGAAGAGAAAGAAAATAAAACTCGATGCCATGAACTAACTACCTGATCAAAGAAAAGAAGAAAAGAAAAAAAGAACCGATCTATCACAATCGAACACTACTGACATCTTTATTGATGATTAAAAGCAAAATAAAAACTTTAAATTGATTTATATGTTTTAATTTTCTTTTTAATAAATATTCAAATATAAATTTCTTTAATATTCATTTAAATAAAAAAGTGTTTCTTTTTCCTCTATTCGGAACATTATTCATGGTTGTTGTTCGATTATAAAACGACACTACTGATTACATATACGCGTCATTACAATTCGTAATATTATATACCTATATACAAAGTACAGTATACATCGTTCGTGTCGCATATGATTTATATTCATAGAGAAATACATTATTCTTTTGCAATAGTTTATTCATATTAATTTCATATAAGAAAAAAAAAAGCGCCGAACTGATTATGTCTATTCTATGTTTGTATAAATCATTTGTTTCTTTTTATTATTAATTGTATTGCATAGTATGAATGCAATAACAAATTTTTACTTACATTCTACTATATAAACGCCTACGTTTAGTTTTTTTTTTTTTTTGCGTCGTCATAGTTTTGTTTTTGTTTTCAGATCTTTGAATTTATTCATATATAAGACTACAGCAGCTAACAACTGATCGCCCATTGAAAGTTTAGTTTCTTTATGAAGTTGTCGATTCGAAGTAAAGAGTTTTGTTTTATTTTTATTTTTTTTGTTTGTATTTATTCAAATTGAATATTATTATGTTAGATATTCAAACATTTGCCCACGGCCATTATTATCATTGTAGACGAACGGCACAACCGAGTGTTGTTCAATATTCTATGTTACATGTTTCATGCCCATCTGGCACTTATTGCACAATATCGTCTCTCGATAGGCTTAAACGCTCAGCCTCATCACGATACAAAAAATATCAAAAAAATTTAGCATTTCAACATTTAATTAAAGAAAATAATTCACAAATAAATTTATTCAATAATACAATACAATCATGGCAATGATAAATGTTAATCGTCAAACAAACGATATGTTTTACCGTTATAAAATGCCTAAACTTGCAGCTAAAGTTGAAGGTACAGGTAATGGTATTAAAACTGTTTTGGTTAATGTAACCGCAATTGCTAAAGCTCTCAATCGTCCACCAACTTGTAAGAATAAATAAAGATAATATTTGTTTTTTTGTAATTTTCAAAAATTTTATCTTATTAGATGTAACTAAATTTTTTGGCTGTGAATTAGGTGCACAAGTACAAATGAATGCAAAAGAAGATCGATATATTGTCAATGGAGCACATGATTGTGAAAAATTACAAAATTTACTTGATGGTTTTATTAAACGATTTGTACTTTGTCCAAAATGTGACAATCCCGAAACGAAATTAGTATGTTTTAATTTTTTATTTGACTAATAGATGAGAGAATGATTATAATAATCAGAAATGCAGTCGAGACAATCTATGACCTTCACTGATTATGAACAATTCTGACAGAATGTACGAAGACATATGTTTGTATTAGTTTAGTGAATGTCATCATGACATTTCATAGGTAACTAAAGGATTTTCCAACATAGAAACATAATAATTACATCATCAAAAAAGGAAGAATATATTAAGCCGTATAGTGCAGACATAATCAACGCTAGTTATATATATCTGGAACGTATGACGACAGTATCAAATTAGTGATAGCAAGCAACTGTAAAGATCCAGAAGTAGATAGTATGGATGTGAATGGCAATATGTTGAGTAGATGTGGGAAAGAGATAGTCCCGATCCGGGGTCGGAACCTATACCAAATCCTATTGATCCCACCAGAGGTGCAGGATCTGCCGTGATTTTAAAAAATTTCCCCGCACGATAGTGTCTTCCCTCAGCTATTTCCCCAAGATTCTCCTATGAATTGAAAATTTTCCCCACACGGCCGTACGCGCACACGGGTAGATTCTGCACCTGTGGATCCCACTCATGTCTAATATATCATGTAGGTTATTGTGCAATGAGAAACTTGTAAAGCGAATATACACTTATAAAACAATGATAAAAACCTACTGCCTATGTTAAATCCCTGCTTACTTCTAATTATAATCCTAGGAAAAAAGTTAATCTTATATAAATTGTTTTCGTTCTTGTTTAATTAAGCTTAAAATGTTATCGAAATATCTTTTATAATTATATTTTAATTTATTTCTGTAGAGTGTACGTAAACGAAATGGTGGTGAAATCCTTCAAGTATGTGCTGCATGTGGTTATTCAGGTACAATTATAATGGCATCACATAAATTAACAACATACATTGCAAAAAATCCACCAGATGCAGTATGAGTATAAACTAATAAAAACAACGAATTGTTAATTAATTCGTTTTATATATAGGAAACAAAAAGTGAAACAGCACCAGAAACAAAAACAAAAGATCGATCAAAAAATAAGAAAAATTCAAATCAAACAAGTGGTACTAATCGTGATTCAGATGAAGGAAGTCCAAATGAATCTAATGGAAAAACAGTAAGAAACTTGGAAAAGAAATAAATTATTAAATTTTCTAATAATTTAGAATGGAGCATCAAAAAGTGGTGGTGGTGATGATGATGATCATGATGATGAAGATTGGGGTGATGATTTATCATCAGCTGTAGCAGAATTAAATCATCAAATCAAAGGTATGATTCAAACTGATGATCTAGATAAACCATTACCTGAACGTTGCGACCAATTTAATCGTGTTGTTGAAGTAGGCAAAAAGAAAATAATTTTGTTTAAATTTATTTACATTTTTCTGTTTTTGTAGAAAAAGAAAAATGAACGAAAATTAAATGATATTGATACAATTAAAGATCTCGTTGCCGAAGGTGAACGTTTAGAAATCATGGAACAAGCTCCATTTATTGTTGGACAATGTGTATTTACAGAAAATATTTTAAAAGAAATCGATGAATATAAATTATTATTATCTAAAGTAAATAAACTAACATAAAATTCTGTTTTTTCTAAAATATTTTTTTTTGTTTTGTTTATCTTAGTTATGTTCGAAAAATGCTAAAGGACAAAAATATTTATTACATGCACTTGAAGCTTTAATTTTTGATCATGAAGAAATTCGTGCTAAAATTTTCAATAAGAAAACTATGTCAAAAATTTTATTAAAATTTTATGATGAAGATATTATTGAAGAAGATACATTTTATGCATGGCATGAAAAAGCTTCAAAACGTTTTGCTAATAAAACAATAGCAAAAGAAATTCGTGAAATGTCTAATGAATTTATACAATGGTTACGTACAGCTGAAGAATCAAGTGATGATGATGATGATGAAGATGATACAGATAAATTAGCGGAACCAGAAGTAAGAAAAGATAAAAGAAATTCTTTTTTTTTTCTAATAATTTTGTTTTTTTAGATCGATTTTTCACATGCAGCTGGTAGTGGTCTTGAAGTTAAAGTTGAACCAGTTAATAAGCCTCCTGTTGATCAGAAAATTGAATATGGTGGAGAAATATTTGATGTCGACAATATTTAACAAAAAAAATAAAAATACTTTTTTTTTTTTTTCTCTTGCCTGATTAATCATTTATTCAATTGCTTCATTAGTTGTCTCCTCTTTTGGTTCCTTTTTTTTTTGTTTTTTGTTTTTGTTTTCTGTATTCATTTATTCTCTCTTCCTTTTCCCCATATCGCTTTTGTCATTGTCTATTAATCATACACTCCACTTTATTCTTTCTTTTTGCTCACTGTTTCAAACAGTTTATTTATTCAAGAAATAAACAAATAAAAAAAAAAAAAGAACGCACGAACGAAATAAGAACACTATACAATTGCTTCAGGTAGTAATGAAGTTTTTTTTATCGATGAACTTCGTAATATACCATTCTTCTTTGTTATATTTGTTGGATGTAAGATATCAACAGGTGGTGTGTTGCTAAGATTACTATTTGTTGTTGTTGTTGTTGTTGTACAATTCGTATTAACAATTAATTGTTGTGTTATTGTTCCATTACTATTCGTACTTGATGGTGATGATCCACCATGTTGTTGTGGTTTTTCAATATTTATTTGTGTATGTCCATTAAGACAATTATATTCACGTTTTCGACAACCATGTCCACGTCGTGTCAAAATGATACACACAGAAAAATTTAATAATAAAAGAATGAAAACACTTAATGTTAATATAAATACATATTTAGGATTTTTTATTTCAAAATGAATTAGTTTGGTTTTTAATGATGAACGATTAATTCCAGAATTATAAATTGAAATATTAGATTTATGTGATACTTCATATAAAGTTTTCCATGTATTTATTAGATCAAGATGTAATGGTTGATTGAATAGATTAGAAATAAGATTGTTAAAAAGATAATGAACATGTGAATAATGACCTGATTGTTGACTTAATTTACCATCTAAATAATAAAATATTCTATTTTATTTCGCTGTGTTATTAATTGTCAATCAAGATTGAGAAATTTTGGACCTCGAACTGATGATTTGCTATCAAGTTGGGATTGCATACATAATGTATATTCAAATGAGTTGTGAATGCTCTGAAAAATGTTGGGACTCTGAGTTTATTTTTTTTTTAATAAATGCATAAAAACAATATTCCGATATAATTTTCATTTTGACTTGTTCTTCATATGTATAGTTCAAGATATGATTCTGGTGATTATCTTCTTTCGTCTCAATATTAAGCAAAGAAAATCATGAAAGAATTCAGTCAGATTATATGCAATACTTTTGATTTTTATCAAAACTTTCTTGAAACAGAACACTATTTTCATGTTTTTTGAAGATAATGGGTTTTAAAATAATATTATCTTATACAGTATCAGACAATAAGACGTCCGGTGTTGTCCTCTTTGAATTGCAGATTACTATCTGTTGCCATTGCCAAGTAATTGAGATTATACCTACTTCTCTATAATGGTGCCACGGGCATTACCCATGTAAAAAAGAAAAAGATCGATCATATTAAAAAAAAACTTCAAAAAAAATTTCATCGATTATTCTGTTTGCTTTTGATTATAATCGATTTTCCGTATGATTCTTTTTTATACGAGTGAATATACACCAATAACAGTATAATATTATTCAAATAATAAATTTTCAGCATTATAATGCAGTTTAACACGTTAACTATTTCTCTAGGGTTCGTCCAGACCGTGCCATGATTTTACTTAATAGACAAATGTCAATATAATTATTGAGTAAGTCAGGGATGAAGGAATCGTACTCTATTAGATAATTATGCAAGAAATTAAGCGTGATTCCTTATTGTTTGACTTAATCAGTTATTATATTGACATTTAATTTTGAAGTAAAAATGATGGAAAGGATTGAATAATCTCGATTGATATTAGCAGTGAGAGAAGTAGGTCAAATGTTAAATTGCATTATACTGCTGAAAATTTATTATGTGAATAATAAATAGTGTCAATAACAGTGGAATAGTTATACTGATACTATTACATGCCTATTCTTATTTCAAGATAGAAGCAAATAAAAAACCTTAAATTTTCATTGTAGACTATTACTTATTATTGTTTTTCCCGTTCACAGAAAGTTGTATTTTCTTTGGAAAAAAAAGCGATGTTGAGGTTTTATCATTGGAAGATGCAACGGAATTTTCTCTCTCAGAATATATTATATATATATATATGTAACTTTTCAGAAAAAGGCTAAAGTTTCGTGAAAGTTTTTTTTCGTTTTGGGAAGACTGCCTTTTTATTTGCATTAGTATTGAATAAATATTCTTATATCATTTAATCAGGACAGATGGTTCTAGCTTATGTCATCTGTTACGTGCTTTCAAATATTCCACGTCTATATATTATGAAGATGCGATTTTAATATGACTTCTTTTCTTTGCATTTATAATAGAAAAAAAAGGCATGTCTACACTTATTTACCTTCTTTCTCAGAACATAATTTTTTACTACTTACACCCTAGTGGGTCATTTTTGACCCATTTATAGAACAATCTCAGAAAATAAGGAAAGCATCATACTCAAAAATTTCCAAGATATTATTTGTAGGAAACTTCATAAGCTATTGATTTGTAAAAGAATATTTTGTTTCATTGTTCTGTCGTCGAGATATATGATTTAAAACAAAAAGTGTTTTTTCACTTACAGGCAATAGAGATTTTGAGGGCGGGTTGTGTGATCTATATCGACTAAAATGTCTACTATTGAACTAAATGCGTTTCAAAAAAAAACCCAATTGCTTGACAGATAAGAAACTCTAAGATATAAAATGGGTCCTGGAACAACTATTTTATTTACCATCGATCTAATCTCTTCATTGATGATTTAATTACTTAAATAAAGACATGTATTTAGACAAAAAAACTATGCAAAAAATACATGTGGTCTTGAAAAGAGCTTTTTATATACGTAGTGTTTCTTTTTTCATTGTAGGCTAATAAAAAGAAATAGAAATTTGAAGTCACTCCATTCCCTTCTCTGCCTCAATAGTTACTATAGTTATCAAATAAACCTTGCATATAAGATGATAATGCATCTGATCCATCTGCCCATACTTTTGGCATATTGGAGAGGTCAATGCTCTATTTCTGTAGTAGTTTTATCAGTGGTTCTTCTGGAGCCACTTCATAGGGCAAAACGGTTAATCAGAAAAATTGAAGTTTCCTCTCACTGCGAATCAAGATATAATCAATATTTTTTTCTGCTTTGAATGTCTAAGGAGAAAATCGCCCGAGGTTATTCCTACCGTTTGCGCTCATATTGGACTCATACAGAGGTCTTGATGAGACACTAGTAAAAGTCTAAAAGGGTTCGGCTTCATGGATGTTTGAAACCGAGTTTGGACTATTTTACTGAATTTTTCGCCAAAAAGAATATTCCTTTGTCGAGATATTGAATTTCCAAAAAATAGTTGCTTGCTAGAGGCACGCCACAAAAATCGAATTTACTTGAAAATTCAAAATCTCAACACAGAAATATTCTTTTTGGATGAAAATTTCAGGATATTCTAAGAGTCATTGGATTTGTCGAAGTTTCATTATTTTATTTCTAGATAGATACCTAAAAATCGCTTGAAACAGTAAAATAGTCGAAATTCCACTTTAAAGACTCACCAGGTCAAACTCTTTTTGACTTTTCCTAGTCTTATCAAGACCTCCTTTTGGATCGAATACGAGCTCAAACGATAAATATCAACTCGGGTGGTTCCCTAGAAAAGAAAAAGTATACTTTCGTCCAATTAGATTTTTTTTATAACTGATTCCTGTATTGAGACAAGCGAGATCTAGTGTCATGTTTTTTTTACTTATTTTAACGTCATATATGTTAAAATAATCACAGAAAATAAATGAAAGTGACATTCGAAATTCTGGATAGGATGAAACTTGCGTATTGGTATCGATTTCAATTTGAAATTTTCCCCAGTTGTGCACCTCTTATAGTGATGAATTTATAGGGATTGAATGCGAACTCAAAATCGATTAATCACCTGAAGGATTTCTCTCGTTAACAGCATATAGTTTCACACTTTTAATAATTTAGAAGGTTTCTATGCTCTGTATTACATTTCCCATTTTCCCAGATTCTTAGTTTGTTCTTTTTCGAAGAAAAAGATATTCGTAAATAGAAACTTTGTTATTCATTATCAAGTTTAAAATATAATAAAATTTTCTCATTTGGTTTAAAAATTCAATTTTGAATAATATAACAAAAATTTCTCAAATAAAATAAATATTCACTTACCTTTTAACATAATAAAATTCAATTTCGGTAAAATCGGATGCCATTTTTCAAATGTTTCACATTCAATTCTTTTACAATATGATGATTTAATATTAATATCTCTATTTATTTAATAAAATTAAAACTTGTTGCTTTTTTTCCTAGTTAAAAATCAATTTAACTTACCCATTATGTATTAAATTAGCAAATAAATCCATCATATACATACTTTCAATTCTATCATTTTCATCAGCATTTAAATATGTATCATTATAAACACTCATTGATGGTGCTAAAACATATCCGAATGTCAATGGTAATTCTGAATCATATTTATTTGAATATCTTTCTAAAGCATATATTTTTCTTTTGTTTGATATATATTTAGCATATTGAAGTAATGGTGCAATTATTTGTTGATGATAACTTAATGATTGTTCATCGAAATCAAATTGATTTGATGTTTTATTCCATTTAATATAAGCATAATTAAATAAATATTCAATAATATTATTTATAATTGAATTTTTCATATCGATTTGTAATGGTAATTTTTTTCGTATGATTGATGAAGATGTTGTTAAAAGTATATGAAGATTTTCTGGTAAAAGTAAATGAGATTGTTGAAAAAATTTCAAACGTAGTAAATTTGTATGATCATTATTAATTAATGAATTAGAATAAAATGGAAATGGATTTTCAAGTGGACACATATAATTTATATGTCGATTATCATTTGAATATGTATTTAATTGTAAAAAATCATTTGTTGTTATTAAACTTGGATTACGAAGACAAGATGATGTTGAAC